GCTGTTTTAGGGAGCCCTGGGAGGAACAGAGCCTCGGCTGCACAGCCCTCCCCTCCCAAAAACCTTACAGCCTCCTGCATTCCCCATGGCAGATTTTAACCGGTGGAGGCGTGGCCAGTGCAGCCACCACGTGGCTAGTGCCAATGAGCTTGCCTGGGATGTGGAAAGGGCTCTGACGACCTCCCATGGACTCCTTCCAGCTTTCTGTTCTCTTCATGATGAAGTCTCAAGGGTATTTTGGCATTTTGTGCAGTTTTTGTTGTTTTTAGGCACCTTATGACTCCTTGTCCTACTTCCACAGCTAGGATTCTCTTTGCTTTCTACCATCCTTGCTCTGCCAAAACCTCCAGGTTTCCCCCTCCTAAATTAATCCAGCTTTACTAAATTTTACAAGTTTCAGAGAATAGAAGAAACAAATCATTTTGATTCTTCAGTTATGCTCCCTAAATAAAACAATGACCTCTACTTAAAAGAGAAAAGCAGGACACACTAATTAGCCAAAAGACTTCACCAGGAAACCCAAGTACTGCAAGGAGAGTTAAAGGGTTTGCTGTGCCACAGCCCACTCAGCTCATTTCAGGATAGTTTTTTTGGCTGTATTGGTCAGCAAACACACCCAGGATGACTAGTTTGTACTTTGGCTACTGCTTGAAGCCTCTGAAAGGAAATCTTGACCTGTCCTTGCTGCTCTTTCCCACCTCTCTGCCACCCACTCCTGTACACTGGCACTGAATCATAGAATCACAGACTGGTTTGGGTTAGAAGGGACCTTTAAAGTTCATCCAGTCCAGCCCTCTTCAGTGAGCAGGGACACACAGGGAATCACAAAGGTTGGAGAAGAACTCCAGGATCAAGTCCAACTGTCAACCCAGCACTACCATGATCACTAAACCATGTCCCCCAAGTCCAACTGTCAACCCAGCCCTACCATGACCACTAAACCATGTCCCCCAAGTCCAACTGTCAACCCAGCCCTCCCATGACCACTAAACCATGTCCCCAAGTGCCAC